GACCCTCCCGCGCCGGCTCTGGACCTACCTGTGGCCTTTAACGCCGGTTGTTCGCCTAGCAACAGTTTTAACCTTTTGGCATGGATTTTCCCTTGGTAATGCGATTCGGCCACCACTGCCGAGGTAAAGGACATGTTACAGAGCGTGCAGCATTTGTTCTTATCCACCGAGTCACCGTCACCGCCCTGGGGGGAGACAAAAACACAGACAAAGAAAGAGGTGCGTGAGCCCACCAAGCACAGGCACGGAGGAAGAAGGGAGGCGAATCCCGGTTGTCACGCCAAGGCCACGCTTTCCCAGGGCTTTCCCTTCCTCGCCTCCCCCAGACTCGCTCCTGCCCGGCCCCAGCCCTGCTCAGCCTGGGGGTGCCTCCAAGCCCCCCACACCCGAGCCCCCCGCGCCACCACTTTCATGCATGCACTGGGTGCTCGCCCTGCGGCTTCGTGCTCCCCCCAGCCCGGGGGCTCATCCCACGCCCCCGCCAGCCAGCCCCCTGCTTCTGCCTTTATCCCTGTCCCCTGGCTGCATCACCCAAACCTGGTGCTTGCCCTGCCGTCAGACACCACGCTCCTGTCAGAGACCCCAAAGCAGTGGGGGGGACGGCGGGGGGCAGCCCTCTCTGCAGGTGGGAGAAGCAGATGAACCAGTGGGACTCACGTGTGTCCCCAGGATCGCACTGAAGGGATGCTAAAGGGTTAACAAAAGGACCTTTGTGAAGCCAACTGTAGATCCATCTTAAATTGCTAGCATTGTGGTTTCGATTAACTTACTAATCATGTGAAGTAAACGATAGGTAAGAAACTAACACTGTAGGGAACGTGAGAGAGGAGAGATGAGTAGCAAATGGCCCATCTTTGTTGCAGGCCTTGGAAGGCGTGTAGGAGAACAAAGCTATGGGGATAGCCAACGTCGCTATGAGGATGGCCAACATTGCTATGGGGATGGCCAACGTCGCTATGGGGATGGCCAACGCCGCTATGGGGATGGCCAAGGATGGGGAGCCAGCTGGTACCGGCTGTGTTGTTCCGACAGTGGAACAAGGGGGGTAGAAGCTGGAGTTCACCAAAAGGACAAGGTGAAGAAGACAAGTGGATGAAGTAACGACCCCTGAAGACCACCGACTCAAATCACTGAGCGTGCACAGTCGGGAGGGACTTATGGAAATGACCTCTTGAAACTAATTTTAACACGAAGCAGGGACAGGTTATGCCTATGTATAGGGGCACTGGGAAACTTCATGCGTATCTAACGCTTTGCTACCTATAAACAGGGCAAGCTGCCGTGTTGCGGCGCGCACGACTTTGGTGGGACTACCCCCCATGCTGCCCAGCGCTGAATAAACATACCTACTTCGTAATCGTACAGATTACACCCCCCTGCAGCCTGGGTGTCCGCTGCTCCGGGCAGGAGCTCCGCCAGCGCTGCCCCCCCAGCTGCGGGCCCT